TGTGCTGTCCAACAAAGTGGCCGCTAGCCACATGTGCTACTTACATGTAAATTAAGTTAGAAATTCAGCTCCACAGTTGCACTAGTTACATTTCAAGTGCTCAGGATTCACATGTGGCTAGTGGCTATTGTATTATACAGGACAGATTATAGCATATGTCCATCATTACAGGAAGTTCAACTGGACAGCGCCACTCTAAAGGCATAGGCCCCTTGCCCTGGGCCTACAAGCAACACTGCAAATGGAATCATGGCTATTTTTTTTTTTAATATACTGATTCAATAAAGTAGAAGACATATATGTATTTAACAAGAACTCTTAGCCACCCAAAGATTTTGAGAAATCAAATGAAGAGTGAAACAGTCAGCTACTTTGCAGCCACACAGAAATGACCATTTTTTCCCTAAATCGTGTAAGTGTACAACATGAATGCATTGTTTTGTGCTTTTGTTCCAGGATCTAATCTCTATCACACTTTCTAAACCCTGTGGATATTCCCCCATAGATGGGTAACTTGAATGTAATGTCATTAAACTTGGGATAGATGTGATTCTGAGAATCACATTTTCTCATTGTTCTCTATTTTCTTATGAATATTTCTCACACACTCAATGGTTTATGTGCATGAATTTCTAATGCAATCATTTTGGACCACTTAAAATGTGAAAATGTGTGTCTAACAAATGTTTCGTGTCAATATAAAAAAAATTATGCACATTTGGAAATTAGAAAAGTCTGTTCATATTTTATTACACACTTAGATTCAGAAAAGCAATGCTCTAAAGATAGTTCATAAATGCCAACAAATGAGACAAAGCACTCTGTGATAAATCCGTTTACATGGAATTCTACAGTAACTGAGAATTTGGTCTCTGAGTGAAATACTACTCTAAAGTAAATCCGATTTTTTGTTTGTTTTACAGATGAGGAAGTCAAGCCTCATTCTCTCTGATATCTACTCCTTCTCTTTCCCTTTCTACTTAGAACTTCCTTCTAACTTAATCTTCCTTCATTTGTAAAATGTGTTCTTTTTTTCAAGAACCTTCTTTTCAGTTTCTCATTTAATCTTCACAACAGCTGCACAATGTAGATTATGGAGGATATGTTATTGAAATGATAAAGATGAGAAAAATCGCAAAAAGCTTAATTGACTTATCTAAAGCTGCACAGAAAGTCTGTTTTGGTCTTGGGGCTGAGATTTTTCTCCCTCTTTATGTAGTAAGTTCATCTGACATTATCCTGGGGCCAGGTGCGGTATCTAATGCCTGTAATCCCAGCACTTTGGGAGGCTAAGGCAGGAGGATTGCTTGAGCCCAGGAGTTTGAGACCAGGCTGAGCAACATGGTAAGACCCTGTCTCTATGAAGAAGAAGGAGAAGGAGAAGGAGAGAAGAAGAAGAAGGCTTTAAAAAAACAAAACATATGACATTATTCTGTTACATCACTTGGGTTCCTATAAATTGTATGCAATTTTAATAGAAAAACTCATGGCCAGCCTCTGGCACACTGTATGTATATAAAGAATCACTTGAGGTTTTAAAAAAAAATAGGGCAGGAAGGTTCTTCTTTTATTGTCCTGTCATTTTTCTCACAAACTATTTGTGTCAATGCTCCTAAGGGGCATTTCTATTTCAAGCCATGTGACCTAACCTTTCTGGGCTTCAGAGCCATCATCTGTAAAATGGAAATTCAATTCAAGGAGACTAACTTCATTTTGGTATGGATTACCTAGTGTTTTCTTAATCAGTTAATATATCAGGTAGTAAAAACAAGATTTATTCTTTTAAACTCAGGCACAGACATACCAATCTTATTCCAAATATAAATCTCTTTGTGGTAGAAATGCCACAAAAAGTTGCACTTTCTTTTTCAAGATTTTTTGATGCAAAGACACTTGGAGAATTTGAAATTCATAGAATAATGAAATCTTATTACTCACCTAAACATTATCTAGACCTGCCCCTTCAATTTATAATGGAAAAAATTTAATGTAAGGAGATCAAAAGAAATATGACTGCCTTAAGTTTATAAAGCTAGTTCATGGAAGAGTCTGGGGCAGACACGGTCTACTTTTCTTACAATGCCATGTTAGTCTGGGTTTCCAGTGGGCAACTTATAAACACATTTTTTTTAGGAGCACACTACAAATTAATCCAAAGAAGAGGCATACGACACCATATGGAATGCCTATAATTGTGTTCCCTCCCAAAAGTGAATTTAAAGTGAATTATTATAAATCTAAAATTATATTTACTAACTTCAAAAATGTTAAAAGAATGTTCCAGGATAGGTTGAAAAATAAGCTGCATGCAGGTTTTTATTTTCTTCTATTGGCTTTTTTATTTTCTCCATATGTTCTACAATGAACATATGTTCCTTATATAATCAGATAAAAATGAAGTTAAAAATGAATCACTTAAAGCATGGAGCAAGACTTTTAAATAGCATAGTTAAAATAAAATTAACATTCTAATAGTCATAATATATATATAAGTGATAAAATACTCAAATCTTGTCACAGGCAAAATTACTACACTGAAACTGAAAAGGTCGAAGGAGAAATTTGAGATCTTAGAGGCTACGGCTCATCACGGGAAAAAGGGGTATTTGCTGCTCTTTAACAACATTATTTGCTTGAAACATTTCCTTTCAAAATGTAAAACTTTCACTGTTGTTTCTGAAGGAGTTTATCTGGTATAATACCTAAATTTTTCTCAATAAATTCAAATAATTTGATATTTTTCATATCCTTTGGAAGTTATTTTTTGGTAAGCATTGTAATAGTGTGTTATTTACAAGTGAGAGTAACAAAATTTATTATTTTCATAAGAGCATATGTCTACAATCTGCCATCTACCTACATGCAGATGTGATTATAAAATATATGCATGATAAAATGCATAAGTGATGTGTTGTTTGGGTAAGTAACAAAAATGCTTAGTGCGCAGTTTTAAATTAGCAAGGAAGATACTTGAATTCTGTTTCCTGTACTGTCTCTGGAAAAATTAGGAATTATAGTTACTCAAATGTTGACATTGATTGAGCTCCTTCCTGGCAATTGGTGCAATCTAAGTACTTGCTAATCTCCCTCATTATGAAGTAATCTAATCATGCACTTCCTCAGTTAATCCTTACAACAGGGCATAATACGGGGATTATTACTGATTATCCTTATTTTACACATGGGAAAGACTCAAGTACAGAGAAATTAAGGATCTTGCATGAGGTCATGTGACTAGTAGACAGTAGAACCAAGATTTGGACCCGTGACCAATTCCTAAAGCACTGAATACTTCCTCGCATAGGACATTGCTCCTGAATTTCTTCTCACATCTGTTCTTAGACACTTGATGCCTTGGCACTATCCCCAAAACAATTAAAATAAAGTTAAATGACTGACTGCAAACTGCTCTTTGAGTATGGGTATCATTGATGTAGGAGACATAATTTCAAATTAGATGACAGCATATATGATGTGGAGTTCTCTCATCTCCAATAAACACTGAAATTCATTAATGTAGAAACAAAGAATCATCATCACCATTATCATTACACATTCTCTGAAAATTATTATTTCACACTATTCTCTGAGGTTAAATTTGCTGCCAACATTTATCAATTGTCTACTTTGCATAAGTCATTTAAATTGTACCAAGTTGTGTTTATAAAACGAGGGCAGGAGAATTGCTTGAACCTGGGAGGTGGAGGTTGCAGTGAGTCGAGATCACACCACTGCACTGCAGCCTGGGTGACAAGGCAAGACTCCATCTCAAAAAAAAAAAAAACAAAAAAAACAAAAACTACCCTTAAAGACAAGCTACTGTTCTCATTAGAGGCTGTGGTCTGGATATCATGTGTCATTTATTTTTCTCTCTCCCATGAGGCCTTCTCAGTGTAGGCTTTCCAATGATAACAATAGCTAATGTTTTAAAACGATTACTATATGCCAGGCACGGTGCAAAATGCTCATTTTGACATGACATGATGTCATCCATTATGTCATTTAAACCTCAATAAAACAAAACAAAAACAAAATTCAGAAGTTTGTTCTTTTGTTCTACCGATGAGGAAGTTAAGACTTCAGAAGGTGAAGGTATTTTTCCAAGTAATGACTATCAATTCCTTGTATAGTCTGAACCCTGACCCTGGACCACCTGACTCAGCAGCACACGCTCTTTGCCATACAGTGGTATCGTGGGTTTGAATGATACAGGGCTGAGGTACAGATCGATACGTAGTTGTTAACTGAATAATGCATCAATGAATGATGACAAAGATTGCAGTAAGAAAACCTTCCCGTCCCCTCCAACAGAGATCTATTCATTTTCCTTTTCTTTTCTCAGTCGTTCAGAGGGAAGTTGATATTAAACCTAGAGGTTTCTGTGCCCATAAAAAGTGAGCGATGATTTCTGAGGAGAGAACAAGTTAAGTTTTTAGGGAGTGCTAATTTTGCTGGTGGGTAAAAGGGAAAATACAAGCAAGTCTCGATGAGCCTGATTTTCCCACAGAAAGGAATCTAACTGTGGGGAATAATTAGGGCAATTGTATGTTGGGAGGTTTGAAGGTGGGGGAATGTAAATGAAGAAGTAGTAACATTTGTGAAGCAACATGATAGGACATATATTAAAATATTTATATAATGTTAAGCCATCATCTAGCATCTAAATCAATATTATTAAAACAAACTGGCATATTGCTGGTTTTGATTTATTTCCAATTCAATCATTAGTCACTAGTTCCTTTAAACTCAAAGTATGGTCTCTCATGAAAAGCTTGTTAGAAATGCAGATTCTTAGACTCACCCCAGACCTACTGAAGTCAAATCTGCATTTTAACAAGATCCCGGGTGGTTAGTGTGCACACTGAAATTTCAAAAGGACTCCTCAGTTCATTTCGTGCATTCAACTTTATGGGAAATACTGATATACTAATTATATGACTTTTATAAGCATTTTATTAATTAAAAAATGTAACTACATAATTATTTTTAAGTTCGCTCATTATAAGAATTTTACTTCTGTTGGTTGATTAATATGACAATTGAAGAACAGCTATCTTATTTTCTTCATTTTTCAGTTATATAATTTGACAGTTTATTCACAAATAAGAACTCTTTTCTTCTTCATGATGTTTTATTTTTTATTTTTTTTCATAGTAATTTATTCTCATGCAATGCCTAGACATAGGATTTGGAACACTTAAATAAAGAAACTCTTAAATTCCCACCAACAGGGATAAAGAAAAAAAAAATCTAGCCCTGAAAATTTCATGGCAAATGGGTAAGATAGTCATTTGAGAGTGGCCAAACTCAGTGTCACAGTTCTTAGTAGGACCCTGCATGATGAAGACTGATTTCATTTCCAAATAAGTGCCAGCTCCGAGTAGACCTATCAGTCTGAGCGTCAGATCTATTGAAAAGAAAAATGAGTAACTGCTCAAAAATCATGCATTATCAGTATACAGTTTGTTGAATATATCAAACCAGGGGTCCTCAACCCCAACAGTCAGTAGCCTGTTAGGAATTGTGCTGCACAGCAGGAGGTGATCAGTGCAGGAGTGAGCGTCACTGCCTGAGCTCCGTCTCCTCTCAGATCAGCAGTGGCATTGGATTCTCACAGAGCGTGAACCCTGTTGTGAAGTGTGCATGCAAGTGATCTAGACTGCGTGCTCCTTATGAGAATCTAGTGCCTAATGATCCGAGGTGGAAGAGTTTCATCCTGAAACCATCCCTTGCCCTGGTCTGTGGAAAAAGAGTCTTCCATGAAACTGGTGCCTAGCGTCAAGAAGGTTGGGGACCGCTGTAGTAAATGTCTCCTGGTATAGGGAACCCCTGACAGTCACAAAGCAAGGTGCTGGCTGTTAATACTAATTAGACTTTAAATTCAGCCAACATGAAATCTGTTACTTTACAGTTAATTCTGAGGCATGGTGCATATTTATACGTGCTGTTTGGGATTTCAGATCTTTGGATACTTCTCCTCTGAAGAAGATCCTATTACTTCCCAGTTGGATGAAGAAAATTTGGTTTTCTTTGTGTCTAGAAAACGGCGAATTTTAATTTCAGGTGACATTTTAATTTTCTCTTCCAAATTAGTACGAGTTTTAATATTTTTCTCAAGAATAAATATTGGGACTATATGTTTCCATAGAATCCCTTTTCATTTTATGTATTTGTTCAATGTTTTATCACTGGGTGTTGGGGTGGTGAAGAAACTCTATGACTATTGAAATTGAAATATTATAATTGCTTTGAAGGACACTAAATAGAGAATGTGATGGGAGAAAATTCACATTTTCCTGAAAAAGACTCAGACTTCCAGTGAAAACTCTCTGCAATGATGTCACAATAATGCATGCTCCAGGAAAAGAAGTCACGTTTCTTTTAAAGTATTCTTCAAATTAAGTTTTTGAGTTTTCACTAAACGTGACTCTTCCATTCACTCTCATCTACCCGTGATTATCTTAAAGAAGTTTAATCTGACATCTCTGGAGAGCTTGGGCCAGTCACGGAGGGGCATTGTCCCCAATCTGGGAAGTCTCCAATGTATGTGTTCTTCATTTTCAACTTTGAGCCTGGGACCCAGGACCCCCCATCCCTCTCCACTCTTAACACCTTGGGTTTTCTTCTCCTTCTTCCCTTCATGGTGGGAGGAGGTCAGGAAGAGGGAAGACAAACCTTCAAACCTACTCCTGTTTTCCAGCATTTCCTCCCATATTCTGAAATGAAGGTCAAATGTGATGTCTCTTAAAAAAGCACCTGGAGGCTGGGCACGGTGGGTCACGGCTGTAATCCTGGCACTTTGAGAGGTCAAGGTGGGTGGATCACCTGAAGTCAGGAGTTCAAGACCAGCCTGGCCAACACGGTGAAACCTCATCTTTACTAAAAATGCAAAAATTAGCCAGCCATGGTGGTGCACACCTGTAGTCCCAGCTACTCGGGAGGTTGAGGCAGGAGAATCGCTTGAACCCCAGAGGTGGAGGTTGCAGTGAGCTGAGATGGCCCCACTGCACTCCAGCCTCAGTGACAGGGCGAGACTCTGTCTCAATCAAACAAACAAACAAAGCACCTGGAATGCTTTCTGAGCCAAACCCATCTTCATCCTTGACTTTTCCTTAGCCCAACCACAGACCTCAAAAGAGCCTGGCCTCTGGCCATGGGAACTAGAAAGCAAAAACGAAAACAAAAACACAGACACAAAAGGGCTATCCCTTCTGCGACCACACTGAGCTAAGGAGGGGTCCCAGAGCAGGGGAGAAGTGTTGCTGGCAGCCTACGTTAGAGCTTTGAAAGTCTTTTTCTAGATGACAGTTGCATTCTATAATTCATTTCTCATTCAACAAATATTTGTTAAAGTCTACTATGGAGGCCAGATACCTTTCCAAATGCTAGAGACACAGCAGTGAACAAACAGACACAAATCCCTGGCCTCATGGAGTTTACATTCCAATAGGGAGAGGCAGACAACCACAAACATTAAACAAGTGAAATGTACAGTATGTCAGATGGGAATACATGCTATAGGACAAAAAGTAAGCAGGTTGTGGGGAAAATAAAGCAGGAATGTGGGAAGCAGAAGGTGGTCTGAGAGCGGGAGCATGGTGTTCGATAGGGTGGTCAGGGAAGTCCCCACTGAGAAGGTGAAAAAGATCCGTAGAAAGTGAGAGAGAAAACCATGTATTTCAGGTAGTGGGGACAGTGGTGGAAGCTAAGGTTGGAGAGGCAACAATGGGAGTGGGGACAGATGTATTGGGACTTGTAAGACGTGCTGAAGACTTCTGAATGAGGCAGAAAGCTACAAGGGGGCTGTGGATAGAGGAGAGGAGTAACCTGAGTTATCCTTTATATTCTATTCTAGCTTCTGCATTTAAAATAGTCTGTAGTGTGGACGGGGTGGAAGCAAAGAGAATGATGGTGGCTTGCAATAGGGCAGTGTTTCTCCATCTTTATTTTTTAAATTACTGACCCCTACGGAGCCTCTTTAGACTTTTTGCTCCTAATTGCCTTCCCCTCTGCCTTATCTTGCTCTATGCCATTTTAATGCCTCAGGTATTAATTATTAAGTGAATCCAATTATATACTACATGCATATCTGCACTTTCTACACAAAAAGAGTAAAATGTATTCATGTTCCCTCCAAGAACTAATTTGTACCCATTTGGGGGCAATATCTTCTCTGTTGAGATACACGGATGAGGGTGGTAACACTAGGGTATGACACCTGTTCACTTGCCTTTCTTTCCTAAGAGTTTGCAATTATAAAAATTAAGTACCCTGGAAGAAATTCTATATATATGGCTTTATCATTCAGGACATGGCCATAGAAACATGAAAGTGTCTAGCTAGTCTTTTTTTTTTTTTTTTGTCAAAAGGCACTTTTTTTTTTAAAGCCTTAATGACAGCTCTAGTTTCATTCTTTTATACTGAAAAGCCTGAGATAGTATTAAGTTTTTATCATGTGTAAACCACAATGGTGCGAGTTCAAAGAAAGGAGTCCTAAGAGATGTGAAATATCTCAAAAAAGAAATGATTCCAAATGATGTTTAGAAAACGTGTTCTCTGTGAAATATGCACATGCACGTGTATGTGTGGGGGGTGGGTGGGTGTGTGTCTTGCATTTTCTCTGGGAATTAATGCACCACATTTAGTTAGAAAGCTCTATATATGCAAATTAGTATCTCCGAGGATCATTAAAACACAATGGTTGCTGGGTTTTATGGTTTTACTCTAATTTTTAAGTAACTTGGGGCTTTCTAGCAAAAAAGCTGTTTATCTTTTGTTGTTGTTGTTGTTGTGTTTTTTGAGACAGGGTCTCGCTCTGTCACCCAGGCTGGAGTGCAGTGGTGCGATCACAACTCACTGCACCTCAACCTCCTGGGCTCCAGAGATCCTCCCACCTCAGCTTCCCGAGGAGCTGGGACTACAGGCATGACCAACCACACTCAGCTAATTTTGTATTTTTGGTAGAAATGAGTTTTGTCATGCTGCCCAGGCTGGTATCAAACTCCTGGACTTGAACAATCCACCTTCCTCAGCCTCTCAAAATTCTGGGATTATAGGAGTGAGCCACTTGTGTCTGGCCATATCATTTGTTTTTTAAACAAACCTAATGAGTTTCAGCATCTTTACTGCTGAAAGTTGAAATTAATATTATGCTGTTGACAGGTAGTAGAAGACGAGATGTGATTAAGAGCATTGTCAAGGTACCTCACCTGGATTTACTAATAACAGCTACTCAGAAAGGATTAATAACAGTTTTTAATAACCAGGTAATTTCTTTTTCTTTTTCTAACTGAAGGATTCATTTTACAATAACCAGGTAATTTAAAAGCTTGGATTTCTGTCTCCCTCCCTCTTTCCCTCCCTTCCTCCCTCCTTCCCTTCCTTCCTTCCTTCCTTCTTTCCTTCCTTCCTCTCTCCCTCCTCCCTTCTTTCCTTCCTTCCTCTCTCCCTCCTCTCTTCTTTCCTTCCTCCCTCCCTTCTTTCCTTCCTTCCTTCCTTCCTCCCTCCCTCCCTTCCTCCCTCCCTCCCTTTCTTCCTTCCTTCCTCCCTCCCTCCTTCCTTTTCTCCCTTCCTCCTTCCCTTCCTCCCTTCCTCCTTCCCTTCCTCCTTCCTTCCTCCTTCCCTTCCTCCTTCCCTTCCTCCTTCCTTCTTTCCTCTCTTCCTTCCTCCCTCGCTTCTTCCTTCTTTCCCCCCTCCCTTCTTTCCTTTCTCCCTTCCTCCTTCCCTACTTCCTTCCTCCCTTCTTCCTTCCTTCCTCCCTCTCTCTCTTTCCTTCCTTCCTTCCTTCCTTCCTTCCTTCCTTCCTTCCTTCCTTCCTTCCTCCCTCTCTTCCTCCCCTCCTCCCTTCTTCCCTCCTCCCTCCTCCCTTCCTTTTCTCTCTCTTGGTTTGTCTCTGCATTATATATATGTATCAGGTACAGTGGAAACCATAAATTGTATTTTAGAGTTATTCCAAAAAAAAAAAAACCCAAATATTTAGTAATGAGGAGGCTGCTGTGCCCTGTGGCAATTCTTTGGAACTGGTGACTGCATTTGGCATTGTTCCCTCAGGGTGTCATATCGAACCATGTGGCATCAACACAATTAAAAGATGCTCCTGGATAATGTCTCGGTTAAAATCAGAAACACTCATGAGCCGAGTGATTAATAAAAGGTCCCATCAGGAACTTTGGACTTGAAATAAAAATGAATTGCTCAAATTCCAGCCCCGCTGTTTTACTAATTATGTAATTAAGTAGGGAGCTTAGCGAGTCACTAACATCTTTCACATCTCTCTTTTTACATCTGTAGAATGAGGACAATAAAACCTGTCCTCCCTCAAAGGATTGTAGTGAAGGTCAAATGAGAGAATGGGTGTAGAAACACTTTATGAACAATACATCCCTACATGAATGTAAGGCTTTGCTATTATCAATGTCATTTCTAAATTTGTAAGTTTTGGACTTTCACTTTAATGGAATATGTTACAATATACCCTACATAATATTTTGCTATGAAAATAAAAGGTAAATCTTTGGTGTTATTTTAAAAATCCTAATGATTAGTTCATTTCCAACTAGAAACAAGCTTTATGCAAGTAAAATATCTTTGAAATAATCACTATGTGATTAAAATTTTTCACATAATTTTCAGTTCTTCAGTAATCTCCAGTTCAGGGAATCTTTCCGAAGCTGAAGTCACAGACAGCCAGATTCTGTCAGAGGTGGGGGCTGTGTGGCCCTGGAGGCGGTGCAGTGAGGGATGCAGAGTGTGGGCGTGGAGTCTGGGCTCCAGCCTCGCACTAACACTTAGAGCTGTGTGTGTTATTTAATATCTGCATGCCCTGGTTCCTCATCCAAAATCATAGACCTTCCTTCTTGCTCTTTGAGTTAATACTAATGAAGTGCTAGCATCATTAGAGTTCCTCAGTAAATGTTGGCAATTGCTGTAATAAACAAATAATGTGAAAACAAAAATGAATTTGCCTCATTTAAATATAAAAACCTTCTCGATCTTTTTCTCTTGGTGCATTATTTACCTTCTCTTTTGTTACCTCAAAAATAGAACTAAGATGGTATCTAAAAAATAATAGGAGAAGGAAAATAATTATGTGCACACTAAAATATTCAGAATGACGTGAAATAAGTCAGGTGACATTATCACATTTCCACAGATGCTTTACAAATATGCACATACACGCAAAAGCTTATAGATGGGCACGTGCATACTCACAAATGTGCAAACACATATGTTTTTTATAAGATAATGTAACTGGAGAAAAAGATGGCTAAGAAATTAATGGTTTTGTTTTGTTTTTGTTTTTTGTAGAAACAGGCTCTCGCTGTGTTGTCCAGGCTAGTCTCGAACTTGTGGTCTCAAGCCATCCTCCCACCTCATGGCCTCCTAAATTGCTGGGATTATGGGAGTGAGCCATGTCCAGCCCAAAATTAATTATTTTGAGATTTGATACAGCAGGAATAAATATTGTTTTGATTGTTGCAAGCCTTACAAATATGACGTATCATGTGAGAAAAGTTAAGCTGAAAGTGTAGGTCACAGGAGTGATTTATTAAAAGGTAGCCCTTAACAACTCCAAATATCTTGGATTAATTCATAATTTAGGCTGTATCTGAAGTACAATAAATATAGTTCAAGATTTTCTTGATGATATAAACATTAAATGTTATTAATAAAAATTCAAAATATATCTATAAGGATTATGAAACTTTTAAAGCAGCTGAGAGGACTTTAAATAGGTGACTTCCACTAAAGATATATATAGAGAAAGAGAAGCAGAAACCATAGGTGTTCTGGTCCGCTACTCACCGGTTTTCTTACCGCGATGTATTTTCCCATCTAGAAGTCAGTCCCGGGTTAGAAAAGCCTTTTTGAACTCTTCAGATGAAAGGCAGCCTGTGGGTAGCCATGACTAACAGCTTTAGTGATCTCTCTGATCTACTTTCTCTGTTTCACATCATCCGTTTCTTCTGGGCCACTGTTTCCTAGATATTTCTCAAGGCCATCTGAGCATGTAAAAGAAACAAGGTCATTGAAATACTTCAACTACTTGCCTTCATCTTGGGAGCAATTTCCATGCCACAAGAGTAGGAAAGGCTGCTCATGCATACACTGCTCTCTGCATGGGATAAAGCTGTGGTTCTTAACTGGTGTAGTACCCAGTGCATATATATTCACTCAACAGGTGCTTATTGAATAAAAGAGGAGGCCCACTGGGTAAAATGTTCTTTTAAGTCTCAACTTGGACAGAGTTAACTTCAAATGAAAAATGGTGGTTTTTCTCAATCACTCTATTTAGTAACTACTCTTGCCATTGCTGTTAGATTATTTTGCATTCCTATTTTTTGGCATCAAATGTTGCTCCAAACAACTTAAAAAAAAAAGAGATGTAGTTTGCATAAAGGAAGAAAATGATTAGTGAAGTGTAAGACTCTTAACGGCGCAGTCACCAGGTTTAACAACGAGCCACAGAGGGATAAGCCTGGTTCACAGCAAACAGTCCGCATCATTCCACAGAGCTAGCTGTTCCAGGAGAAGGAGAGACAGGGAGGAGACTTACAGAGGGCAGAATGACAGCTGAGATGAAACCAAGAAGATTCTGTGTTGTTTTAGAGTCAGCATTTTCATCTTTAATTGTAGTGTCAACTAGATTTCATTACTCTCTTCCTTTTTCATAGATGAGAGTTCAGACCAGCACCAATGTTACAGTAAGTACACTTAAAAAATTCCTAATTAAGTCAAGGTTAGGGCTGTGATGATGGTTCCTTCACAATTACTTAAAATCTCAATGAAGTAATGAATAGACTCTGGATATATATTTCATATATTATAAATTTATGTTTACTGACTAGGATCAAAACTAAGCCTTGAGCAACAGCAAAGAGGACCCAGGTCTTGCTTTCTGGAGTTAAACTGACTGCAGAGAATTGCTTGGAAACTGGTTACTCCTTGGAAGCTTCAATTTAAAAGCGTCTCAGTTTTTCTGAGCATCTGTTATCGGAGAATGTAAAGAATGGATACAACCCAAGTTGTGAGAACAAGGAGGTAGCCCATGGAAATAATTAGAAAATATTTTTATTTTAAAGTTGAATACAACATTAAAAGTTTGAGTACAATTTTGTAATTTATTTAATCCACATCACTAATCGGAATAGTAATTGCAGCAGATGTTGTAAAGCTATAGTGACTTGCTTGCAGAATCTCATTATGGATTTACGAGAGCTGGGAGAATGCTTGACTCTTTCATTGCTTGCACGCACTGAATACCCTGAACTACAAAGGAGGCTGCCATGCTTCCTGGCAAAGGAGTCTGGATTCTCTGTAAACTTCTGAACCTCCATTTTTTTATTATTATACTTTATGTTCTAGGGTACATGTGCACAATGTGCAGGTTTGTTACATATGTATACATGTGCCATGTTGGTGTGCTGCACCCATTAACTCGTCATTTACAATTAGGTGTATCTCCTAATGCTATCCTTCCCCGCTCCCCCCACCCCACAACAGGCCCCGGTGTGTGATGTTCCCCTTCCTGTGTCCAAGTGTTCTCATTGTTCCATTTCCTAAACTGGAAAAAAAAAAAAAAAAAAGCCAACCCTGGAATTTCTAACAGGTTTTACAGAATGTTGGAGGCCATGCCTGAAATGCATGTAGCACTCATAAATGGAAGCTTCTGTTTCTGTTAAGGAGTGTGTTGTTGATATTACAGCTCCTAGCCATGTCAGCTTGGTGTCTTTAGGTAGGACACAAGAAAGTCTCCTTGGTCTCCACTTATCATGGACCAGGTCATTACTAAGGTCTTTGTTTTCTAGCATGGGGACAGGGCTGGAGAGCTCGCTTAATCAGCGCCCTAAATCTAGTCTCCTAGTGCCCATGTGAAGAAGCGGCCTCACAGCAGTGAATAGTGCACAAAGATGCTCCACGAACTGCTGTGTGCTTCCAGGGAGCAATCCCATCGCTAACTGAATCATTCTCCAGCTGATAGTACTGAGACACTCAGGGTAAGGGTGAAAGGGGAAAAGATGGGAGCCTGTATTCAAGATGCTCAGACAGGATGTACTGCAAGGCTTCTCTGTAACAAGGCAGCAAAATGGGGCTTTTAGTGTGACTAACCTGCCCTTTGTTAACCATCACCAGGTCATGGAAGGAAATGCATTATATCCCCCACTTCTCTGCTTTTCTGTCAGGACACCTCCTGGATTACAGGGTGTGATTACCTCTTGCAGCTGAAACGAATCGTAGCCACAACAGAAAGGACCATTATTGTCTGGGATTATAAAGCTCAAGGGAGCAGCCAGGTATTGTGCCAAAGAAATGAGATTGTCTTTTCAGTAGTGGTACAGTATGAGCAATCCACTTTCTCTATCGAACATCAGTTTCTTCATCTATAAGATGAGAGGATTTAAGTAAGTAGTCTCTTAGATCAAGTTCAGCATGTATATTCTGTAATTAAAAGGGACTATTCTTTCCATTTAGTGTATATTTAGTTCAGTGGGGTTGGGTTGTTTTTGAGTGACGGAGTAATTCCTTTCTTCTTTTATGCCCTTCTCTGAATCCATGTATTATCTTTCTTTGGGTATACTCATGTTATCAAGTTCAAATCTTTTCTCCCAAGTCCAGCTTCATTAGGTGAGAAAATTACTAAAATCAAATGTCTAAGTCTGGCAAAAACATCTAATGAGGCAGCCCTTCAGTGGCTGAGATGTTACCGCTTAACCAATCTATCGTATTTATTGAGCATTTGCAGACATTTAGAAGTAAGGATTATGTTCTCTGCACTCAAACAAAACTCAGTCTTGAAGTTCCTCATGAATAAGCATAATATATAATATGATGATACAGCAAATTATATGGTGCAACAGGGACTCAGGGAGCGTGAGATCACTGAGCACCGAGGTTGTTTAAAAATATCTTCAGGAAGCAGACTGACTTTGAAGGACATGGATGATTAAGAAATAAATTAACCTTCCTTCATGCCTTGCTTGTTCCTAGCCTTGGTAAAAAACTAACTTTCTTTTGCTATTTGTTCACAATGTTGTAACCAACTAGTGATGCCAGAGTAATTTTAAAGATGGCAGCTTCTTGGTCAACGTTACTTTATGATGTGCTGTGTTATAGACCAGGTTTATTAATTTCCAAACCCCTAAACTCCAAGATACTGAACTTTGATCCTAACCTCTTCTCCTAACGCTGTTCTGTTTCCACTCTTGCTTTTCAATCCCATAGAAGCCTCTAGTTCCTTGAAAACATCATGTTCCAGTCTTCACTCCCTCTCAACTCTTCTCTTCTTCCCTTCTGGTCTGCACCCTCTGGGGGTGTCATCTGAGCTGGTCAGCCTCACCCTTCATTCTCTTCAATATTTGTCCTTCAACCTGGAGAGATGCCCTAGCCCTTCTCTGCTCCTTTACAGTGGCTAAGCACTGATGGAAAAGAACCAAACAGTGCTATTTGGCACAATTACAAACTTGGGGTCTGCAGACTCAGCTGGGCTCTCAGTGGCTCCATCAATCTCTTTCTGGCCCTAACCAACTCACTGGCCCATTTCTTGTAAGTCATCCACAATTTCAATGTTCTTCTCAGGCTTCTCCCTGTAGTATAAGGACTTGTTCTCTATTTTCCTGCAAAAAACGGAGTCTACTATCAGACTTGTCCTCTTTCAAATTCCAGTGCTTTCACCTACAGATTTAACTGGAAACCACATCCTTACTTTCGTCCTCTCTCTGAAGGCAAAATATCCTTGCATTTGACATGCCCTCCCCTCCTGTCTCGGCCATGACACGGCTCTACAGCCTCCTCTCTCTCTCTTTCTTTAAAAATTGTTTAAACTTTTTTATTTCCATAGGTTTGGGGATCACAGGTGGTATCTGGTTACATGAGTAAGCTCTTTAGTGGTGATTTGTGAGATTTTGGTGTACCCATCTCCCAAACAGTATGTACTGAACCCAATTTGTAGTCTTTTATCCCTTACCCCCTTCCCACCCTTTTCCCCGGAGTCCCCAAAGTCCATTGTGTCATTTTTACGCCTTTGCATCCTCATAGCTTAGCTCCCTCTTATGAGTGAGAATATATGATGTTTGATTTTCCACTCCTGAGTTACTTCACTTACAATAATAGTCTCCAGTTCCATCCAGGTTGCTGTGAATGCCATTAATTCATCCATTTTTATGGCTAAGTAGTATTCCATTGTGTATACATATATACCACAGTTTCTTTATCCACTCGTTGACTGATGGGCATTTGGGTTGGTTTCACATTTTTGCAGTTGCGAATTGTGCTGCTAGAAATATGAGCGAGCAAGTAGCTTTTACATATAAGGACTTCTTTTCCTCTGAGTAGATATCTAGTAGTGGGACTGCTGGATCCAATAGTAGTTCTACTTTTAGTTCTTTAAGGAATCTCCACACTGTTTTCCATAGTGGTTGTACTAGTTTACATTCCCACCAGCAGTGTAGAAGTGTTCCCTTGTCACTGCATCCACACCAACATCTATTATTTTTTGAGTTTTTGATTACAGCCATTCTTTCAGGGGTAAGATGGTATCGTATTGTGGTTTTGATTTGCATTTTCCTGATCATTAATGATGCTATGCATTTTTTTCCATGTTTTTGTTGGCCATTTGTATATCTTCTTTTGAGAACTGTCTATTCATGTCCTTAGCCCACTTTTTGATGGGATTGTTTGTTTTTTCTTGCTAATTTGTTTTAGTTCCTTGTAGACTCTGGATATTAGTCCTTTGCCAGATGTATAGATTGTGAAGATTTTCTCTCACTCTGCGGGTTGTCTGTTTACTCTGCTGGCTTCTTTTTGCCGTGCAAAAGCTCCTTAGTTTAATTAATTCCCAGCTATTTATCTTTCTTTTTATTGCATTTGCTCTTGGATTCTTGGTCATGAAATCCTTGCCTAAGCCAATGTCTAGAAAGGTTTTTCCAATGTTATCTTCTAGAATTTTTATAGTTTCAGGTCTTAGATTTAAGTCCTTGATCCATCTTGAGTTGATTTTTGTATA